CTAGAAATTGGTTCTTTGAAAAGAGTAATAAAATTGACAAACCACTGGCAAAATTAACAAAGGAAAAGAAAGGGAAGATGCAAACAACATGAATAAGAAATGAAATGGGCAATGTCACAACAGAACAAACAGAAATAAAAATAATAGTATCAGGATGCTATGAAGGACTGTACTCTAACAAATTTGAAAACCTAGAAGAAATGGACAGATTTTTAGAAATACACTACTTACCTAAGCTAACCTGGACTGAAGTAGAAAATCTGAGCAGACCTATAACAAAAGAAGAAATTGGAAAAAAAAAAAAAATTACCAAAAAAAAGAGTCCTGGCTCAGACGGTTTCACTAGAGAATTCTACCAATCTTTCAGAGAAGAGTTGACACCAATCTACTCAAACTATTCCAGAACACAGAAAAGGATGGAATCCTTCCAAATTCATTTTATGAAGCAAGCATAACCTTGATATCCAAACCAGGCAAAGACATCATTAGAAAGGAAAAGTAAAGACCAATATCCCTCATGAATCCAGATGCAAAAATCTTCAACAAAACCCCAGCCAACAGACTCCAACAACATATCAAAAAAAGTATTACATCATGACCAAGTGGGATTCATACCAGCTATATAAGGATGGTTCAAAATCAGAAAAACAATTAATGTCATCCACCACATAAGTAAAATAAAGGAAAAGAACCATATGATCATATCAATAGAAACAGAAAAAGGCATTTCACAAAATCCAACACCTATTCCTGATAAAAACTCTCAGACAAAAAAAGAATAGAAGGGAAATTCCTCAACATAATAAAGGGAATATATGCAAAACCTCACCCAACATTACTCTCAATGGAGAGAGACTGAAACCATTCCCCTTGCAAACAGGAACCAGACAAGGATGTCCTCTATATTCACTTCTATTCAACACTGTATGGGAAGTGCAAGCCAGGGTAATAAGGCAGAAAATGGAAATCAAAGGCATCCAAATTGATAAGGAAGAAATAAAACTATCCCTATTTGCAGATTATATAATCCTATACACAGAAAGACAGAATACCCATTGAGATGTTTCAACAAACAGATGCCCCACTGGAGGCACTCACTTGGTTATGCCAAGAGATTTGGAAGATAGCTACCTGGCCAACTGATTGGAAGAGATCCATATTTGTACCCATTCCAAAGAAAGGTGATCCCACACAATGTAGAAATTATCAAACAATATCATTAATATCATACCCAAGTAAAATCTTACTGAAGATAATTCAAAAAAGATTGCAGCAGTGATACTGACCAAGAGCTTCCAGAAATGCAAGCTGGATTCAGAAGAGGACATGGAACAAGGGATATCATTGCAGATGTCAGATGGATCTTGGCTTAAAGCAAAGAATACCAGAAAGATGTTTACTTGTGTTTTATTG